CCCATGGGAAAGGCTGACCGAGGTCGCTGTTGTTTTGGAGTTGTATAATTTGATCAACCATTGCTTCTTTCATGCTGAATTTTTTCACAATGGGTTTGGAAAAGCCGCTACAATTGAGAAACCCGACCTCGATAAATTGTAGATTGGAGGTCCCTTAATCCTTAGACGTTGTGAGAAGATGCCATTATCAGTGACACTGGTGAGAAGTGCGTGCAATTTACCCAATGTCTTTGCAAACACCTGTATCAATCCGTCCACCTGTTGGTCGCCGAGTGACCCGAACGAGCTCCTTTAAGTTTCTTACTTGTACTTGTTGCGTGTAAGAGTAGCTAAGTGGATGCTGATTATCTTGGAAAGCAGCTCAGCATTAGATATCTCTTTTATCGTTTAACTGAAGACTTGTCATCATGAAATTGATGGTCTTTTTGTTGGCGTTCGATATCTCAGAGAATCCAGTCGCTGACGATCATTGGCTGTTATATATGATCAAAAACACATTTCCACGTCATTTCATTTTCATCATTCTAGTGTGCACCACAACATCTTTGATTATTTATAGTTTGCATAGTTAGCAACTGAGGATTTCCTCTCAAACGCACGTCATTGCATATACTCTCAAATCGTCCGCTTGACTGCGTGTTTGATCGCATTGTGTGATGTTTCATTTTTCATACAAGGTAGCTAGATTTCTAATGCGTGGAGAAAACGAATCGCGGCATCGAGGAGGTCGGTTGAGAGTCTACTAATCTTCATTCTCTTCATTACATTACCACAGTCCAGCAACTTGAATATTATGTGTCTTTGATAAGGATACCTCTCTGGTTGTTCTTCTTTCTACAGTTCGACGTACCATCACTCACATAAGATCATATGGTTTCAAACAGATAACATCCGAATACTCTGAGACTGCCTCAAACCTATCACCAGTCTTCGTGGATAGTGTAACGGCTTTTCACATAGGAGGGATAATTGGAGCACTCTTCCTCGGGAAATCCTTTGGTGGAGCGCCAAAAATTCGATTTTATTAAGCGCCGTGGAGTAACTGAGTGCATATATGATGGCCATATCTGACTTCCGATAGTCCACTTATGTGTCAAATAATTACTCGCTTGGAAATCTATTCGTCTTCTTCAAAGCCTCGATGATGTGAGTCGGTGATCCACCGCCGTCCACCCTCTCGATGTAAGTCATCGTAATCGCTTAAAGTTGAATCTTCTAAAGTGGAGCATTGCTTTAAAAAAGCATCCTCACTGGAGCTGTTTTCCTGTGTGAGACGGTTGCTGACTATACTCTGATTCTATGATATATTAAATGATGTAATATATTAAATATACTATCCGAGAGCATTCGTGTGTACAACGCTTTGTTCGGTGTTTTGTTCACTGGACATAGAAAGTAAAACGTTCGTCGTCGCTAACTCTTCGTTTTGGGGACTGGAGCACCCACACAGGATTGGCAAAAGATGAAAAAGAGTAACTGCCCGACTGACGAGACTGCAAGGTCGAAACACGTGTATCGGGTTCTGTAAGTCAGCCCTTTATAACAGATCACAGACATGCGTGGTTCAAAAATGATTATTTGGCATATAGTCTGATCGCCTGTTGATGTTATTACCTTTTTTTTCCCACATAACAACCTGCAGCAGATAGTTTCATCATCGACTAGCACAGCGTCGTTGAGCATATTTTGAAAACTGATTCTTCTTTGACCTTTACATAATTACTCAAAAGTCTCCTAACTGAGTAACATATTCGAGATGATGCCTGATTTTGCCTAAATTCCTATGACCGCTATAGAGGTAACGTCGTCCACAATGTTTTTTCAATTTGAAAACTGCGCTCGATTTTCGTTGTATAATTCTGTTCCGCATTTCGAAAGAATTATGGATACTTTTCCATTATCTGTAGCCTGTTTCAACCCCTCACGGAAAGCGCAATTTTTTAGCTTTCTCAAAGTTCAGTGAACATTGGATAGTTGAGATCAAAAGAATTTGAATGGTGCACTATATATTCGAAATGCCTCTGTTATTAAGCTGAAACACCCAAAAAAATTTTGTTTCTCATTCAAACATTTCTCATCAAACAAACTGTTTTTTTTTAGGCTCTCAATAATTAATCGACAGATCGCATATCAAAAATTCCAATGATGTAGTTAGTTTTTGAAAGAACTTCTTATTGCTTTGCAACAGCCAAAAGAAGACTAGGTCCCGCAAATTTAGATTATTTTTGCCATCATCATCTTTGTTCGATCCTTTGAAAGAACGTGCCTTTAGCCTTTTTCTCAAGTTCCACCAATTATCCTCTAGCTCAAACCTAAAAAAAATCGACGGTGTGAACTGTTTTTCGTTCAAATATTTCTTACTGAACAAGCTGTTCCTTCCAACTCTTAGTAATCATTCGATAGCTCAAATCTGTCGGTTCCAGTAAAGTGTTTTGTTTTTGTATAGGACTTTATAGTGCGCTGTAGCAGCTAAAGAAATGTCAGGTTTCGCGCAGAGCAACATCTACATCAAACCACCGAGGTTTGCCCAGTATGTGGATGTTGATTTCCTAACATGGTCGCTAAGCCATGTGCTTTTTCCAGCGCCAGGTTTGCGAAACTCAATCTTCTTATGATTTTTAAAGTGCAACAAGAAGTTTCGTTAAAAATTAAATACGTTTGAATCAGTGAGACTTTGTCTATCGAATAATTACTGAAAGTCTACAGAAAAGCTTTGGTGAGCGAGAAATATTTGAATGAGAAATTGATTTTGTTTTTTGCGGTTACAGCACAACACTGAAGCCATTTCGAAAGTAAAATACGTCATTCAAATTGTTTTGATTTAAGCTATCGATTAATTGCTAAGACTGTGAGGACGACTAAGAAATAATTTTTTTAATTAAGGAATAGAAACGGGGTACGGTTAACGGGAAAGTACCAATTTATGCGCTTTCCTTAACTTTATACGGTGCTTACGTCGACGTATGGATATACACTTATTTCGTATAGTGCTCAAAATTCGTATGATAGTTAATTAGAAAAACAACGAATTGCCTACCGAGAATGGCACCACATTCTATGTACGCTCCATGCGATGTGAAATCGTGGAGCGAGAAGCAGGTTTGCGCTAGTGTCCCACACACTTCGGAGTGCACACTCTCTTTAAAGTATTAGTCTTTCACTAGAAGTGAAAAGGCAAGTAAGAAATTATCGAAACGTATTTGACTACACAACGTCATAAAAACTTCTCACAATCTGGAGTGGTTTATTTATGTGGACGAAAGTTTCTTTACTGGAGATCTTGCAAACTGGTAGTTTGAAGAGCATGCAGATGCTATGACTGCCGCGAACTTTGAAAATATCTTCATAGTTGATCAGCACTTGATTTTTTACATGAAAAACCTGTCTCTGACTTTGTTTCGTGGGAGTGAATTCATTGTTGCAAAGTGTGCAGCAGGGAGAGTGTGGTCAGTGAGGAGACGCAGGATGTCCTAATTGGAACATTTGAATTCGACATATGGAGAAAGTGTTTCGCTGTGATAAGATGATAGGGCATCGAGAAAACTTGTTCGGAGTAGTTTGGTCGTAAAGTGATCGCTTCAAGAGAGTATTGCTGAGTTTTTATTTTGTAGCTCTAACAGAAATGTTGTGATACGGTAGTTATATGCCCAAGAATGCTGAATGATATGCAGCACTCTGGACCTCAGGCGTGAGTTGAAGCCGCACTTTACCTATACGGTGGGGTGTGTGCTGCCATTGCACCACTGATACCGTCTTTTTTCCTTCACTTTTTTTTTTGATATAAGGCATCAAATTTATCGGCAATCAACCGTCACAGGTAGTGTTAGTGTAAGAACCATTAGCAGTTGTAATTGCGTAGTAAGTGTAGTTCAAACGGCGCGCTGATAATTCTCCACATAAATTCTCGTTTTCGGCGTGAGATCATTGAGTTTGGAACGAATGCGTGACTTGGAGAGTGTAGGCGGCGAAGAGGCGCACACTTTTTCTTTGTCCTTCACCTACATCACGTGCTGAAAACGAAGTGATTTTTAAAAGCAGTTTGCCGGTTCACAGTGTGTTTCACTTTTTTTGCATCGTATGACTGATTTTGCTCCACACATCTCGTCATCACAATTTATTGTGCGGGTCCCAGCGCTTCCTATCCTCGATTCGTTTCTTCGCATTCGTAATCCAAGAAGGTCTTCGAACATTTCACGTGTTGGTTCGGTTGCTGGTTGACAATTTCGTCTTCTTTCTGAGTGCCATGGAATGCTGTTCGAGACGGTACTCCGCACAATCTTGAAGACAGCCGAGCCGAGGCGTTCCCTACGGCGTTCATTTAATGATTGGAAGAGAGTGTTGAGGAGGCGACTGAACCAGCGCCTACTCATCACCTTTTTCTTTTGACAGGATATCGAAACCCTATGAGATGAATGTCATTTTGCTTGTTGAAAATAAACGACGTCAACATATGCTGACAACAGCGTGATTACTGCTGTACGGACGAGTTTTTTCTTCGCGTAAGAGTCCTCCATGCAGAAAAACGTAAGAGGATGCACAAAAGATCATAAAGCATATACTAGAAAAAAACAGAACTTTCGACGAACAGAGCGAAATGCCAGTTTGTAAGGACCGATTATGGATAAAAAGAGTGGAGTACAATAAGCTATCAACTGATCACAAGAAACAATTAACCAGATCGATTTCCTGATAACCTTAGCATTAATGAAGTAATTCACTCTTTTCTTAACGAACAAACCCGAGATTGGTAACGAGAAGATTTATTCCATACAACATCAGCTGATTCGTCTTTTTCAAAGTCTGAAAAAGTTCGAATTGACATGAAATCTGCTCAATTAAACAATTTCATGGTCTCAGCAGAAAAACTCAATACAAAGATTTTTCGTTAGCATAGTAAACAGCTTTTCAAAAGTCATATTTCCTTAATTTAGTGTTACAGTAGAAACATTATAATTTTACAAGTGCATATCAAAAACTAATTACCGAACTTCTAAATTTCAAAACTCATACGGGAATTGAACCCGTGTCTCACCTTTGTCGGGAAGCGCGCTAACCACTGCACTGCTGCGGCTGCTGTTGTGCGAACAATAATTCTGCGATGCAAGATGTCGGAGCTGTCAGCACACACCGTGTATCGTAGAAACCGTGATGGCAGAACAGGAGCCCCGCTAGCGCAAAGGTTAGCACGCATCTCATGAAAGAGTGAAACGTTCATTCAATCCGGAGATCTGAAGTTTTGTTCACCACTCACCACTCTCAAAAATATAGTTATAATGCATCGTCTTGTTCGTATCCCCCTTTAAGGACGATGATGGTCATTTGGAGTCTTGATTTACAGAGATTTTTTTCTGACGAAGCTTTTCATCTGGAATTCAGTGATTACTCATAAGCTTGAATCTCAGGGATTTCGATAATTTGCCTGCTTTTGGAAAAGGCCTGAGTAATACGCTGTAGCAAGCAAAATGAAACTATGCTTCCACACTCGGTTTGCATTATTCACTTGGCTAAAGTTTGTGGGTCGCTTTCTATAGGATTACAATAAGCATATTCTCAAGTCCAAATCTCGGGAAACATGAAGCTTAAGTTGCTTTTCGAATAGTTTTGCACTGCGCACTGCAAGAGCGAAAATAGAATTACGTTTCACATTCAGAGTTTTCTTCGTACAGTGGCGTCATAAATGCACAAGAAATATACAGTCATCTAGAAAAATCATTTTGTATCAAAATGATACAAAGAACCTGAAATGTTTCCCCAAACAAAGAAAAAAATCTTTGTTGGAGAACGAAAATAGCGCACCACTGGTGATATCGATTATGCTGCCGTCTGCAAAGCTATATAGCTCCCACAACCACTAATAGAGACAGTTGACCCTTTGATACTTTATTGACCCGTCTTCACAGTGTTTTTTCACAGTAGCGATCCCAGTAGTACTAGCAATCAAATCTTTTTTTTCATCATCTACATGAACGTCGTGCAATACTGGTTGAGCGAGTCTCTATGCAATCGAGGACAGCCTGGCTGTAGCGTTTCATAGGGGTGTTGTTGTTGACTGTCGGAGAGAGTTGGGAGGGTGTGGATCAGCCCCATGCCTCCACGAACATCACTGCCACTCGGCCACGGCCCCCCTTATTAGAGACGTTGCCGTACACAGTCTCATATTGGGAACAGGCTTAGGTCAAAAATCGATTTGATATGGTGCAACATTGTACGTGACTTCCTCAGCCATGCAAAAGTGTACGGCTGGTCTCCAATAGTAACTGGAGCTTTCAATAAATAAAGCGATAAGTGTCTTGGAACAAGCTGTTTGCCATAACAAAAATTTATGTAACAAGTTTTTCTGCTGAGGTTACGAAAGCTTTTGATTGAGCAGATAGCGTATCGATTTGACCTTCCCAGATCTGAAGAGGGAAAAGTTGCCATAACATCAGCCATTATTGCATCAAATAAATCTTTCTCTTAACAACCTCCTATCTGTTCATTAACAAAACAATGGATTATACGAAGTATAGGAAAAGAATGCTTCTCAGAAAAGTGGCGCCAAAATGTAGCCGAATGAACTTCAACCTACTGTTAACTCAGTACCTATGAAAGTGATGATTAGCTATGAGGAGGTTAAAAAAGTCACTTTTTGAAAACTCCTCCATGGTATGCTTGTCAGTAATTCGGGCCGGCTTCCTAAAGGTAAACATGGTCACTTTTGATGAGGGATCAAATTACCGACCATTTCCGCAGTGTGATTTCACCATTATGAGAATATAAAACCGAGAACGGAAACACATCACAGGTGCCTCGATCTCGAGAAATGGGCACAATGTGAGGGCATGGTCTTTCTACACGTTTGTACACATTTCCTCAGTGATCCACTGCCTTGACACGATGATGGACGCGTGTGGCGCAATGATTAGAAGGCCCTTCTATCACACATAGTCGATTAATGATGGTTCGATCTGACGCCCACTGCTTAGAGAGTACTCGTGAGTATCCAGCCCCCACGTTTAGAGCCTGGCAAGCTATACTTTGGGTACCAAAATGCCAAAAACAGTAACAAATATGAGCCTCATTTTTCTGGCCCCGAAAGAATCCCTGGTACGGCAGCGCCAGGTAGGGCGAGTACAGAGAGGCTGCTAGAATCCTAGGGCCGAACTAGGCTGCCAGGATCGAAATGGACTAAAATGACGATCTGTACCTACAACGCAAGAATCCTTGCTCACGAATGCGCTGTAGAAGATCTATTAACTCAAGCAAGAGGAATAAGGTACGATGACCGTGAACATAGAATCGTTCTAACAACTAACAACCCGTATCGGACGATTACGGTTGAAACGATGTGATTATACGCCGGCTTTGACCATCTTCGTTGCTTACGCACCTACATTGAGCTATGACCAAGACGAAGTCGAAGTGTTCTATGCGGACCTCGAAAGATCCTTCAGAGAAGATCACACGTTTTTCAAGGTCATTGTCGGAGAATTTGACGTAAAAATTGGGCCATGAAGAACGTCTAAGAAACCCCACATTTGATCCCAAGGACTAGAATGGAATGAATAGGGTGAGAGGCTGTCTGAGTTTATCATGACGACTCAAACCATCCATGAAACTCGCAATTCCGAAGGCCTCTTTCTCAGCGATGGAGGTGAGAGTCTCCCAATGGAGAGTACCATAACGAAATAGACCACATCTTAGTAAATCGAAGGTTTTGCCTGACCGATGTCGCTGTTGTTCTTAAGCTCGACACAGGATCAGACCATCGCCTCTTTTTAGTAGCGTTCCGTTTTTCGAGGAGAGGAGAGAAAGCCGCTAAATTCAAACAACGAAGACCCAGAACTACCATAAACTGGGATGTATTCAAATCATTTGTCGGCTCTTGGGAAGATACCGTTGTCGACAACACCGATGAAGAATACGATCGACTCGTTGAATATCTTCACGTTAGCGCTTTAGAAGCTGAGAGTCCTAAGGTCGCGAAGACACTCTTGTCTCCGCAGACACTCGAGCTGATACGTCAACATGGAATCGCACGAGCTACGGGCAGCAACCGAAATTTTACGTCTGAGCCTGTGAAACGCCGCTGAGAAGCGCCAAAGATCTCAAAGAGAGGCGAGCAGTAGTTATGACGAAGCTGCAGAAGCTGGGAAGAGCGTTCGCAAAGCCCAGGAGGCTTTGCCAACTATAAGATCAAGATGATTGAACTCCGATACCTTGACGGGGCACATACAACTTTGAGAATGGCTATGGAAAAAATCATCCACCAATACTACTCGGATCTCTTCGATAGCCATGTCCTCTTACCGTCCTATAAATTGAAAGAGGACGAATATGTCGTTCCACCGGTCCTCCCTTCCGAAATCCGACATGCTATATCGTCGGTGAAGAGCAGAACAACACCCGGTTCAGACAGTATTAGACCAGAATACCTGGATATCCTACCGCCAGTTCTCATCAACATCCCGGCTCGGCTCTTCACTCGCTGCCGGTCAGAGTGCAAGGTGCCCATTCAATAGAGGATCAGCAAGACTGTATTGCTGTTCAAGAACGGAGACCTTCACAACATAGGCAATTATCGCACAGTCTGCTTGCTGTGCGTTGTCTATAAACTCTTTACTCGAGTCATCCTAAACAAGATTGACAGAATACTGGACGAAGGACAGCCATGCGAACAAGCAGGGTTCCAAAAAGTATTTAGTACCATAGACCACATCGACACTATTACAAGCTCACTGACGTTTCATGAGAGTACAAACAACCACTCTGTCTCACTTTCATCGATCTAAAGAAAGAATTTGATTCAATGGAAACAGAAGCGTTTATAGAGGCTCTGGATACCAGGGTGTCCCTACTCGGTACATAATGATCCTTCGTGAGCTTTATAAAGATTTCACGACCAAATATCTCCATTCTACAACAGCATCACCATTGACGTAAGAAGAGGAGTTCGACAAGGCGATACAATTTCGCCAAAACTATTCACTGCCACCCTACAAAACGTCATGCGAACATTAGAATGGGATCGATATGGGAGTGAAAATTGACGGTCGACAATTAAACCATCTTCGCTTTGCTGACGATATCGTTCTCATAACACCAAGCATCAGCCAAGCGGAAAGAATGTTGACCGATTTCGATAACGCCTGTGGAAAGATTGGTCTTCAACTAAATCTAACGAAAAATGATGTTCATGGGAACGGATGGGTTTCTGAATGCCCCATTCACGCTCAGCGGAACGACATTCTCCGAATGCTCCAGTTACGTCTATCTAGGTCGTGAAATCAACATGATTAACCACCTAGCTCCAGAGTTGAGCAGGAGGAAACGAGCGGCTTGGGGAACGTTTAAGAGCATCGAAGATGTAGTGAAGAGGACAAAGAACATCCGACTCCGTGCCCACCTTTTCGACTCGACAATTATCCCTGCCCTAACGTATGCAGCAGAACCTGGTCTCTACGTAAGCAGGATGAAGATCATCTTGGCGTTATCGAACGCGTCAGTCGAAAGGTCGATGCTAGGAGTATCCTGTATTCTCGCGAATGAGAGAAAGGATCCGAAGTTCCGACCTACGTCAACGATCGAAATCAGAGACGCCGTTCTACACGCCAGGATATCGAAAATAAGGTGGGCCGGACACGTGGTGCGCTTCAACGACAACCGATGGACGCGAGCCGTTACCGACTGGATTCCTCGGCACGTCAAGCGCTCTAAAGGAAGACCACCGACCCGTTGGTCCGATTCCTTCACGAAAGCGATAGGAGAAAGATATGATGCTCAGCGAATCCCTAGAGTAAGAAGGAGCCACTGGGCTACTCTTGCCCGCGATAGGGAAAATGGAAGTTGCTGGTACCCGCTCGAGTCACTCGACGTTCAATGGGACGACAGTGATACAGGTGATGTGTGCAATAGAGATGTTTTGTGGTGACGCGCTTCATAAAACTTGCCCTGGATAAGCTGTCGACTGATGGTAAAGTGACATGAACGAGCCGTGCGGTAAGATAAACGACCGGAAAGGAAGTAGGTCTCGTCACACCCCGTCGTTTATCTCAAGGCGTTGCCTCGTAGCGTGCTAATCACGGGT